ACACACACACACAGAGACACACAGACACACACACACAGACACACACACACAGATACATACAGACACACACACACAGACACACACAGACACATACATACATACACACACACACAGACACACAGACAGATACACACACAGACACACACACACACACACACACACACACACACACACACACACACACACTCTTCACCTCCCAGCACCAGGAGGGGAAGGAAGCCCAATGGTTCTGTGGATTCCAGCAAGAACCACCAAAATTTGTATTTGGAGGCTTCTCTGAATTTCCACTTCCTTAGTTGGCCTATTGTTGGTAGCGACCATGACTGAAATTCAATGATTCTCACACGGGAAGCGAAGCTGACTTAAGAAGAAAGCTCCGTGCTGCTTGATACTCTTTATTCAGGCCACGGTTGCATTTCACAGGGTGGCCAAGCTGGGGTTACTTGCAGGAGGAGAAGGTTTTCCAGAAGAAGTTCTTGCAGGGCTTTTTATCTCGGTGTGGGGGCTGCTGGAGGGGTGGCCTTTCCTGCCGCTTAGACAGCAAGGGGGCACCCCCTCCGATGGGGGTGCTGGAGCTGGCTTGGGAAGCCCACTCATGCCACCAGACAAGGAAAGTCAGAAGGCCGGTCCTCCTCCCTTCTGTGGCATCCTGCTGGGTTTTAGAGAAGCAGATAACAGAGAGAAAAGGACTCACCCAACATTAGGAGATGCTCGCCTTTCCCTCCCTCACAGAGAGCAAGCAGCTCTTAACAAACCACATTCCCTCAAAGACGGAGTCAGAAGAACTCTAGAGAAACCGCTCAGCAGAGGGAAACAGACTAGTTCAAAAAAAAAAAAATGTTCATCTTGTCAGCCATGGTAGCAGAGGCCTTTGGCCTCAACACTAGGAGGCAAGGGCAGATAGCTTACTGTAAGCTTGGGCTAGCCTGGGCTATACACAGTGACACCTTGTCTCAAAACAAATATAAATGGTTGTTACTTCTGCCTTATAATCTTTGCGGAGGTCCTTAGCTACGAGATGACTGACAGCTGAGCAGCCCTGGGTACACAGGCTCACTTAGGCTGCTTCCACCCTCAGACAATCTCCTGGATGTCCAGAAATCAGAAGAGACTAAGACGTTAAGTCTGGCCTTTCTTTCAAACTCCTTGGGAAGCTTCTAGGAGTATTCTGATGATAAATGACCCATCTGAAACTCATCTGGTAATCTCAAAGAAAAATCCATTTTTAATGGTCAACTTTATGTACTCTTTCTTGGAACTTTTTCAAAATGGAAAAAAGAGAGAAAGTAAATCATTCAATGAAATTATAAATTTACACCATGGAGAATGAGAGGATAGGAATTATTTGAGCAAGTGAAAGCAGAGCTATGTATATAAATTAAGGTTCTGGGAGTCCGTGTGACCAATAATGACAGAAGCCGGTGAGGCACTGTGACAGCCAGAAGCAATCCAGAGCTTAGACAAAGCAGACGCCAGCAGAGAGGAGTCCCTGGACAGACACAGGCTAGGAGGATTGAGGGCAAATGGAGACCAGTGGTCTCAATGGGACATTGTAGAATCCTGGGGACGGATGGACACACACCCCACAACACCCCCCACACACACACACAACACACACATACACACACCATCATGCAAATGCAGGGCAACGCTCTGGGTGGTCAGAATTACAGAGACAAAGAGAGCAGGCTAGCCTGTGGAAGAGTGGGGATGTACTACTCACCACACTGTCCTGGCCAGTGGGACCTCTCTCCAGGGGAAGAGCGGAGGCTGCGGTCCCCCAGAGCAGCAGGAGCAGCAGACCAGAGGCTGACGGCCACTTGCCTCTTGTGCTGGGGCCACCCATCCTCCTCGGAGGACCTGACATCTGTGCTTTGTGGACGAGGGTCTCTTCTTTGGTACTTTAAGCTCTTACACCACCTGCGTTGGGGTCCGCACACGTCCACTGAAAACTCGCACGCCTCTCCACACTCCCGCGGTGACGCACAAGCCGAGCAATCAGCTCTCACGGAAACATTTGTGGGGTTGGATTTAGCCCCTTAATTAGCGACTCAGGACTTTTCCTGGGTTTGGAGTGAGTATGCTCTTATTTTAGAACACGTGCTCTGAGGCGCTTCTGCTTCCTTGTGATTGTGCCTATGGCAAGCAGGAAGCCATTAGAACAAAGCCAAGTGATTTAACAGAATATGAAATTAGGCCTGGATAGAGCTGATGTGGGATCTTACTCATGTGAAAGCAAGTCGGCGGGCCGGGATGCAGCTCGGCCCAGCACGTGCCTAGCTCGGCTCCCTCCCCAGGAGCTAAAAACAAGTATGTCTAAATCTGCCAGGAGTAAACGAAACCAGGGGCAGCGAAGCCCAGGGACACAGGCCAGCACCCGTGTTCACCAGGTCACGAGCAAGGATGAACCAGAGTGTGTCCCAGACTGCCCTCGGCCCCAGGGCCAGACCTTTGACTCACTGAAGTACCGATGTGGACGTGAGGAGAGAAGGGACCAAGGGCCTTTTGCATCTCGGTGACACAGACATTGTCTTCAGCATCTCAGTGACATGGACGCTGTCCTCAGCATCTCAGTGACACAGACACTAGCAGAGTTCTTGGTCTAGGGCTTTCCAAACTACCCAGGTCAGCAAACAGTTTGCACACTTCTTTAGAACACAGATAGACAGACACTAGGCCAGGAAGACGGCTCACCAAGCACAGCACTTGCAACACAAGCCTGCTGACCTGGAGTTCCACCCTGGAACCCACATAACGGGAAAGTGTGAGAACATACTGCTTCCTAACAAACTTGATCTCTGACCCACACTGTCCCTGTAGCGCACACGTGCCCCTCTCCCAGTCATAGATCCTGTTTTTGAAAATTTAGGAGTGCAGGTAGACAGACTGGCCAAGTGTGCGGGGCGCCTTCTTGGTGTAGATTACAGTCACTTCCTGAGAAACCTGGACTTGGCCAGCTGACAGCCCACTTCCTTCCCAAGACAGTGACAAAGTCCTGGGCCACCTGCTGGTTCCTCACAGGTCCTAGGTTCAGAATTGTGGGGATATGAGGGACACCTCACCCTCATAGCCAGACAGACCTGAAAAACCCATCTCAGACGCCAGAGAACACCAAGATCCAAGGGAGGCTCAAGACTGAAACAAAGCAACTGAAAGTCGGCTGCTTCCAAAAGTAAAACCACGCCCGCTCTCAAAGACCTTCTGGAGGTCCTCTCTTCCATCACAGGATGTACCCTATGGGCTATCCTGCTGGCCCCAGAGATCCCTCTGTATCCCCTACCACTCCATAAGGGAAAGAGCGGGCCCTGAACACCTTACAGCCTTCTGGACACAGGGACAGTAGGACAGGGCCCTTGAGACACTCCAGACTTTCCCTTCACGGAAACTTCTCCTTGGGAGAGCCAAGGCTTAATTACAGGATTGCTAGAGAAGTCACATAAAACCGTGCTTCTGAAGTCTCCTCTGAAGAGTAAGAAATTTCATTCCCAAAGACCACTTGTCACTGGTGATGGGGAGGCTGAGCGCCTGAAACCATAGCAACCAGAGCTCAGTGAACACAGTTTTATTTACCCTTCAGAGACCTGCATTTGGCCTGGGAAATAAACAGTGAAGGACTAAGCTCACCCCCCACCCCCCGACAGCCAGCAAATCTGACTGCTAACCCATTTTACCAGTCACCAAGTCACGGTGCCACCGACGGCCAAGCCTTCCCTGTGCCCGCTAAAAGCATGGGCGTGGCTTTGCAGGAATTCCCAGCTCTTTAAGCTTCTGCTGAGAATAACTTGAGATAGGCAGCATGAAAAGCTGCCTCCCACTTGGGATCTTTCTTTCACACATCGTACTTATCCCTTCAGACTGCCCTCAGGGGTGTGCACTGCTTCCCGCTGAAGGCTTCCTTTCCAAGTGACTTAACTTTCACCACTGAGCTCGTCAGCAGCGGGCTCTCTAGAGTTCCTGTTCTCATCGTCCGACTTTCTTTTCTTCTTGGCCTTTCGTTCCAGGTTAAGCTGAGCAATCTCTTCATTCTTCTCTGTAATGTATTTTAGCTACATATATATACAAAAAGTAAAACTATATTTAAGTCTTTAAATATGTCTATAAAGCATTTTGCAAACCTAAAAAAGACATCACAATAACTTACACCTTCTCCAATATTCCAAAAGAAGTTCATTGACTGAGCTATCCATTGAGCACTGACTACCTGAGAAATGGGGATAGACACAGGACAGACACAAATCCTGTTCTTGTGGAGGGGAGATCACAGGAAGGGTGGAGACCAGGCAGGATCGCTGTGGTACAGATCTGCTAGCAGCCACAGCCAGGTGACCCTGGCACCTCAAAGTGTCAAGTGTCTTCACCTAGAAAATGACTGCTTAGTCAGAATGACTCTTGAGATGTTGCATAACCAGCCTTGCAGCCTCCTATCCACCCCTGGCCCATTGGAACTGAGAGTATGGCCTGCCTGGGGGGCACACCTGTAATCCAGGGTCCTAGGATGGTGACACAGAGGAGGATCTCATGTTCAAAGCCTTCCTGATCTAAAAGTCAAGTTCAAGGCTAGCCTGTATAATTCAGCTTGACCCTGTCTCAAAACAAGAAATGGAGCTGGAGGGATGGCTCAGTGGTTAACAGTACTGATTGCTCTTGCAGAGGACACAGGTCTGATTTCCAACACTCAACACTGTGGCTCATGACCACCTGTTAACTCCAGGTCCAGGGTATCTGAGACCATTTTCTCACTCCCAAGGGCACCAGGCAAGCATATGGAATACATGTATACATGCAGGTCAAACATTCATACACATAAAATAATAAGCAGACGGATGGGTGGACAAATAGCCAGTGGTATACCTCTTGTCTGACATGCATAAGGCCCTAATTCAATCCCTAGCTCTAGGGTAAAGGTACCATTGGTACACCAAGGAAGCCATCCCCAGAGACTAACCCATGACTAATCTGTGACATCATACTGTAAATGAATCATGGGACCAACATTTTGAGATATTACAAAAAAGGTAAATTATGGAATCCAAAGAGAGCTGATTAGTAAATCTGAAATTGGCTTTGCAAGATCCATCATAATGAAAGGAGAAGCATAAATTGCAGGCAGGTCTGAACGGTTCAACATCTCCAGTTTTTAACTCAAGGTGCCCTGAGGAATAACCACGAGCCTTCAAGTGATTAATTGGGAATAATGTATTCTGGTGGGGTGGGGAGGAGGGAAGAAATCCATCTCACCAGTGAATTACTCCGTCTCGCTAAGAGCTTCACGTCCTCAGTGGTAATTGTGCTTCTTTTTGCATGTCTGCAGAAAGGGCAGAAGCAGGTCACAAAACATTTGGTATTAAAGTTTGGTTGAAATATAAGTTCATGGTTGAGCTTCCGACGAGCAAAGGTGCCTCAGTGGTCCATCTCTGCAGACGGAAAGCATCAGGCAGCAACCCCAGCGGAATGAGTGAGGTGACAAGCCAAGACACCTGCCCCACAGAGGACAGCGAAGCCCAGCTGCCCACTGGGCAACAGCAAGTCGGTGCCCTCCTCCACCTTTCAGCCAATATCCGGTATCTGTGTCAGATTTTAATGTCCTGGCCGTCCTAGCTGCAGGAGCAGGGACCGGCACACCGGCCATTGCTATGAATAGCAGACACTCCCTGCAGTCAAGCCCCAACTCTGCCAACCTACTCCCCAGGACGGGGGAAGGACTGTTGGGTAGACTGTGTGAGCATTCTGCTTGTATGCGTGTACAGGCACCAGGTGCATGCAGTACCCATGGAGGCCAGGAGAGGGCGTCGGACCCTCTGGAACTGGGGTTACAGACGGTTGTGCTGGGAATTGAATGTGGGTCCTCTGCAGGACCAGTTAATGTTTTCAACCTGAATCATCACATAACATTCTGAATAAAAAGATTTCAAGGCTGAGTACGGTAACATATGCCTCGATCCAACATCTCAGAGGCGGAGGCAGGTGAATTTCTATGAGTGGAAGGCCAGTCTGACTTACACGGTGAGTTCCAGGCCAGTCAGGGCTATACGGTAAGAGCTTTGTCTCAGAAAATAAAAGATTCAAATTTAAAAACTATTCCAAAAACCACATGGTGGTGGTGGTGGTGGTGCATACCTTTAATCTCAGCACCCAGGAGACAGAGTCAGGCAGATCTGTGAGTTTGAGGCCAGCCTGGTCTACAGAGTGAGTTCAAAGACAGCCAAGGCTACACAGAGAAACCTTGTCTTGAAAAACCAAAAATTAAACAAATAAATAAAAATAACTTTAGAAACCAACCTACGCCAGGCGGTGGTGGCGCACGCCTGTAATCCCAGCACTTGGGAGGCAGAGGCAGGCGGATTTCTGAGTTGGAGGCCAGCCTGGTCTACAGAGTGAGTTCCAGGACAGCCAGGGCTATACAGAGAAACTATGTCTCGAAAAACCAAAAAAAAAAAAACAACCCAACCTACTCGGGCTAAGGGTGTAGGCTGCAGCTCAGTAGGAAGCCGGCTTTCTTAGCATGCAGGAAGCACTGGGTTCAATCCCCAGCACCATACAAACCAGGCGTGGTGGTGCACCTGTGATCCCAGCACTTGGGAAGTCATATTCAGATACCGTCGTGTTTGAGACCAGCATATGTGACCCTAACCCTAACCCTGAATAAGTAAATAAAAACTAATAAATAAAAAACTCTGGAGATGCCCATGCTAAATATTAAATTCCTAGTTTAGACTGGGAGAGAGTTCCCAGTTTGCAGTGGGCTGATTTTGAATTTAAGCGTATTTCCCCATAGGAATGGTGTTATAAACACCGATTAGACCGCCACATCAAGCTACAAAAACCATTATTTAGCAGTACTGGCGACGGGACAAGCTTTCCGCCAGCAAGCTACGGCCCATCCCACAAAGACTACCTCAGGGTTGACTTGAAACAAGTGAAGAGCTTGTGAGAAGCCTAAGTCTGAATAAACAAAGGTGACCTTGCGAATACCAATTCTGTTCAATGATAAACTTCAAAATACTGTTATGAAAGTGAACTGGAATATCATGAAATCAAATACAAAATTCAGACAAAGGAAGATTTTTTTTAAGACAGCCTGGGTTAACCTGGAACTCGAGTTAGTTCTCAGGGAGATTCACCTGCCCTGTCTCCCTTGAAGCCTACACTGTTTCCTTTGAGACAGGATTTTGTTACACAGCCCAGGCTGGCCTAGGCTTTGGTCCTCCTGTTGGCCTAAGTAGCTTCTTCACAGTAAGGATTAGTCTGCAGTGAGGAGCTGCAAGGAGCTGTCAGAGGAAACAGATTCCCTTTAAGGGACGGTCTTTGTCCTTGGGGAGGGGTGAGAGAAGATTTTAGATCTTCTGTACCTCAGCCTTGGGGAAGAGCTTCAGGACCAAGCTAGGCATGGAAATCTTCCACTGAGACTAGCACCGCTGTACCAGGGAGGGGCCCGGTGACCCAGCCCTGTAATCCCGGCACTTGGGAAGCAGAGGCTATACAGCAAGGTACTGCCTCAAACTCACTTTCCAACACCTCCCGCAAAAAAAAATTTAAAAATCACACTTGAAACTGGAACTGGGGCCTCCTCAGACCCCCTCCCCATCCCAGCTCGGGCTCTCAGGAAGCCAAGGCCGAGGCAGATGGCATCACGTACAGAAGGCAGAAAGACTTCCTATACA